GTTGGTTTGCTATTGTTATTCTTTCCAAACGAAGGATGATTGTGCCTCATTTCATATCAAAACAGGGGAGAGTAATATGTGTTCCATTGTGTTTGGGGCCAAGGTGCCCAATTCTCCAACTGTGGGGGTCTCCAGTCCCTAAATATGACCCTGCATATTCATACCTAGGAGATGACCAGAGGAGTTTGTCTCAAGGTCAAACACATCACAGAAGTTCATTTCCCCCAAGATTTTTGGAAAATAGTCTCTGGTGCAGTAATCCATGGTGTTCCTTTCTCACCTATGGTCCCTACAAGGATTGGGACACCTAATGAGAGCTTCTAACAGAATGAGTTATCTTTCATGAGCTTGATAATTCATTAATTTAGAACCTGAAAGAACATTTTAACACACAAACTTCTGGTTTTCTGTCTTGGGAGAATGGGGTGGATATTGTCCCTTGGACCCTCCAGACGTCACCTCCACGTGTCCAGCCCGGCTCCTCCGTGCGCTCCCGCTGGGTTCTGAGCATGCGCGGCCCCGCAGGCCATGGGGCGGAGAGCGGGCGCCGGTCGGTGCGCGGGCGCGAGGACCTCCCTGCAGGGCTGCTGTGGGGAGACGGAGCCTCCCCCGAAAGCTGCAGCTCCTGCCAGAGCCTCCCAGAAGCCCGTCCTTCTCCCCGCTGCCCGCGCGCCTGGGGTGCCCCAGTGCTGCTACGGAGCCTGCCCTGCGCGCCGCTGCCGTCTCCGTGCCGCTCCCCACGTTACCCGTTGGGCGTCCCATCGTTTCCCAGCAGGACCCCAGAGTAGTGAGTTGAGCTGCTCACTTGTGCTGGAAATCAAAAATTTATTTTGTTTTGATTTCTATAAGTTAGGATTGGTTCCCACTTAGTGTTCTCATGCCTTTATATTTGTCCTCAAAAACAGAGTTAAATGACAATTTAATCTATAGGAAAAGATGGTCATCTTATCTCAACTAAAAGGCATTATCCTACAATATGGGGTGATGGCCAATTTTTAGACGGTTGGCTGGGATGGGCTCAAACTCTATGAAACATACCTTTGAGTAAGTTACACTTAAAAAAGCTAGAATAATGCATTCACACATTTTATTGGTGAGCAGTAGATTTAGCTGGGAGAAGCAAAAACCTAAAAGATGTAAACGGCGATGCACCAAGGTAGAAACGTGCCTCTCGCCCGCATGACAGTTAGGTCGGGTGGGTGACAGCTGCCTTCCTCCAGAGGGCCGTGGGGGCAGGCTCGCTGCGCTGGTCCCCAGCGGGGAGGGCGGAGGCCGAGACGGGAGCGCGAGAAGGCAGCCCCGCCACGCGCCCTCGGGGTGGCCCGGGGCCACTGCCTTAAGTGAGATGGGCCGGACGCAGGAAGACCAATACCACACAGCCTCACTCACGGGTGGAACCCGAAAGAGCTCACCTGAAGTGGAGAGGGTGGTGCGCAGAGGCTGAGGGAGTTGGCAGGTGAGGGGCACTCAGCTGCCGTCAGAAGGAACCAGCTGGAAGAGACCCACCGTGCAGCACGGACTGCAGTTCCTAACGATACAGCGCATTCTCGAGAAATGCTTAGACAGGGTATCAGGCGTTCCCACCACACGACTGCTAGCTGTGTGAGGTAATGCATACGTTAATTAGCTAGATTTAAACATTCCATAAAGCATATTTTATATACTTCAAAACATCATGTTCTACATAATAAATACATGCAATTTTATCTGTCAATTAAAAAAATTTTAAAAAACTAATTTAAAAAAGAAATATAACAAAAGGAGAGGAAGAGAGATTGGTGGAGCATGTCTGTTGTTTTGCACCAGTAAGCCCAGCAGTTGCCCACAGTGCATGGGCTTCAGTCCTACTATCCAAAGTGAAGCCTCAAGGTCTCAGTGGCAGATGAGGCTGAGAGATATGGTCCTTATTTGGGGCGTCCACTTACTCTGCACTTACTACGAACCAGGAGAAATGGGTCGGCAAGTCACCTCTATAAAGGGCCAGGTAGAAAGCAGTCTAGGTTTTGTGGGTCACATGTGGTGTCGATTTCCCTTTCTCTCCCTTTTTCCTTCCCTTCTTCCATCTCTTTCTTTTTCTACTCCTTCTCCTCTTCCTCCTTCTTCTTCCTCAAACCCTTTAAAAATGTAAAAACCGTTCTTAGCTCATGGGCCACTCAGAAACAGACCGCAGCCCAGATCTGTCTCAGAGACCAGTTTGCCAACCTGTTTCCTCATCTGTAAAATGAGGAAAATATTAGTACCCATATATATTAATTATTTTAGTTAAAATAGTAATTGTTACAATCCATTATTAAAATATTATTAACGTACATATTTAAGATTGAATCAACTCACATAAAGACCGCGGACTAGTGCTGGCACTCCGCGCCCTCGGTCTGTGCTGCTGCCAGTCGGCGTCTGCGGTCTAGGAACGGACCAAGTGAAGCCACACGAGGTGAATTTGGATCCAGGCTCCGTTTCCCCAGATGGGTTTCTTTGGGCAGGTTCTTTAACATTTTTGTGCCTGAGTTTCTTCATTTTTCTCTTAGGGTTTTTGTGGAAATTAATGCATACATTCATAGAAGTACTTATAGAATAGTGCTGGCGATATAGTGAGTTGTCATTAAACATTAGCTGTTACATGCACTCTATGCTTTCATTTATTAGTTTTAGAAAATATTTATTGACTCACTAACAAGGAAGATGAGGATTGATTGCCTTTATCCTATCCCTCTTTTCTCTACCCTTTTCATCCCAATATTTGATCTGAGAATATTTTTAGTTCTTCTGTTGGTCCCTTGTGACTTTTCCTGTAATGCATTTGAGCGGCTGGTTCTGCTCCCGTCCATCGCTGTTTGTCGTGTTCTGCGGACGCCTGTTTGCGAGGGGTATACACACCTGCGCCCTGTCCCGTGCTCTCCTGTCCTCCATGCCCACTTCCTGTCCGTGTGCGCTTTGGGCACATGGAAGTACTATGCTGACATCCCACCCTGCAATCACAGCCCAACTTTCTCGCTTTGTTTATAGACTGGCTATTAAACTATTTTTATATTTATGGCATTATAACCTTTCAAATGGACTATTTATGTTATTACTTACTATTTTTTCTTTTAAAAATCAACTTTATAATTCATAATTCATATATATAATTCATATATTATATAATTCATTCAATGAAAATATACAATTCAGTGGCTTTAGTGTATTCACAGAGTTGTGTATCCATCACTATAATAGATATCAGAACATTTGCAGCACCCCAGAAAGGAAACGGGTACCCGTTATCCATCATTCCCTGAGTCCCTCTTCCCCTATCCCTAAGCAAACACTGATCTATTTTCTCTCTGTATGGATTTGCCTGTGATGGACATTTCATATAAATGGAATCACACAATGTGTGGTCCTTTGTGACTGGCTACTATTGCTTTGCATAATGTTTCCAAATTCATCCATGTTATAGCATGTATTAGCACTTTATTTTTTATTGCTGAGTAATATTCCATTGTCTAGATATACCACATTTTATTTATTCAACGATCACTTTATGCAGTTTGGATTATTTCCATTTTTTGACTTATTAATAATGATGCTATGAAACATTGCATATACATTTTTGTGTAAATGTATGTTTTCCCTCCTCTTGAGCATATACCTAAGATTAGAATTGCTGGGCAATAAGGCAACTCAATGTTTACCATTTTGAGAAACAGCGGACTGTTTTCCAAAGTGGCTACACTATTTTGCGATCCCACTCCCAGTGTGTGAGGGTTCCTATTTTCCCACATTCTCATCAACACTTGTTATTACCTACTAAAAAGCATTATAGCCGTCCCAGTGAGTGTGAAGTGGTACCTCATTGTGGTTTTGAGTTGTATTTTCTTGATGACTAATGTCAACTTTATTTTGTTTAAATTTTCTCTGCCCCAAAGGTACCAGAAGAAAAATCTCTGCTCTTCTCTTTTTGCCTTTTGCTTTATGTTCTTTCTTTATACCTTCTGATATCAGTCAGTTTAGGGCAGGACCCAGAAACCACTCTAGGTATTTCAATCAGGAGGGATTAAATATGGGGATTTAGACACTTGAAAGGATGGGAGGAGCAGAAGTTAGGGGGCTGCTTCCTGTCCACTGATTTCAAGAGTTTAGACTGTACTGGGATCCAAAGTTCAGAAAACTTCTCTGGCTATGGTTTCTGCTGCTGCCACATTACCTGGAATGCTGTCTGTCCACTGTTGTTGTCAGTAGCAACAGCAGCAGGGAGATGGCTGCCTCTTACTCCTGAAACTGCTGCAAGTGCACGTCTTTGGAATAACTCAATTTGTGTCCAAGCCCCTGGTATACAGTAAAGTAGGTAGAAAGGGATGGGAATTAATGCTAAGTGCTCATGAACCATAACTGGTCACTATTAGTTCCCTTAGGACCTGGTTGAAAATATTGGTTTATGAATATTCACAACTTTCCCCCTCCCTCATCTCCAGAATGGAAAGGATCTTTTGCTGTCAGTGGTAGCAATGGGCCTGGGCATTGGTTAAAAGTATAATGGATAGAGCTGCTGATCTACTTATTTTTTTTTCCATGGTGGGCAACAGACTTAAATCTAAGGCATGAAATTATAAGAATTCTAGAAAAAAATGTTGGAAAAACTCTTATAGACATTGGCCTAGGGAATTTATGAAGAAGATCACAATAATGGAAAAACCAGCACCACAGGTACTCACCATTAAATTGGTAGTAACTGATCAATACTTATGTGCACATTTAGTTGTAACATTCATCAGGTGTGGGGCAGATGGTAGCGGGGGGTGGGGGGGAAGGGGATGGGTATATTCACACCTAATTGGTGCGGTGTGCACTGCCTGGGGGATGGAAAGGCTTGAAGCTCTGACTTGGGTTGAGCAAAGGTAATATATGTAATCTAAACATTTGTACCCCTATAATATGCTGAAATAAAAAATACCAATTAACCAATTACTTACTATCTATGTCATTCTAACCTTGCAAATAATTTTTGTTTTCTGTTGTAGACCCAGAGGCATTGTGCAAAGACTACATTATCTACCTCTGTGCACCCAATGCCCCAACACCTGGATCACTCTAAGGGGATTGCCTCCAGCATCAAGGTCAAATGAACTCTTTTTAAATGTCTTCTATTCCTTCAGATGAAAGCACAGATTAATTTACTTTTTCCTTTGACCATGGCTTTTGTCTGTATTTTTTGGATTTTCAAGAATTTCTGTTTGCTTTTTCCCCACTGTAATCATTCCATTTATCCGGTTACTCTTCCCCCCTCAGAGAATGCTCTTTTCCATTGGTTTTTCCTAAAATCATAACACTCATTCAGTTTAGTGCTTCTCCATTTCTTCCCACCAAAATATTTCTATGCCCTTGAATCCTTACTCATCTGAAAATGTCTTTATTTTGCTGTCACACTTGAATGAAGTTTGGTTGGGGCTAAAATTCTAGGTTAAAAATTACTTCTGCCCAAAGCTTTTAAAGTATTGTTCTATTAATTTTTAGCAACAGTGTGGCTAATGAGAAATCCAGTGAAGTTATGTTTATCATTCTTTTATAGTGAACTTTATTTTTTCCTACTAGAGCTCTTAATTTTCTGAAATTCGATGATAATGAGTCTGGGTCTTCGCATTTTTAATTTATTGAACTGGCCATTTGGGCCTTTGTATCCTCAAATTCCTATTCTACTATGTGAAATTCCTTTTTGCTATTTCCTCCCTTCCACTTTCTCTGTTTATTTATGGCTCTTTTTCATTGAATATGGGATCTGTTGCCCTGGTCTTATCATTTCTCTCATATTTTTGTGTTGTTTCTCCTTTACTTTTATTAAATACATAATGTAAAATTTCCTTTTTTCTTGACTTTGGTCTTCTCTTCCAATTTTCATTGTGGCAACTCTATATTTAATTTTTAAGAGATTCTGTTTAAATGTTTTACATATGGCCTTTTTCTCTTTGTATGAATGTAGTATCTCACTGGACATCTTTATTATTTAGTGTTTCACTTTTTAATTTCTATTATCCTCCCTGAATTTACTCTGTTTCCTCTGGGATCAGTTTTTCTATTGATGAATTTGGTCTTTCTCTTTCATGGTGATCATGTTCTCATATACCTAATGATCCATTTATACTTTATTGGATAGGAAGTATAACTTTTCTTTGCTATTGTATATTTAGGAATTTCAAAGAAATCTATATCTTTTGTTTGAATATAAATTCTGGCTGAAGATTCTGTATAAAGTAGAGTAGAGAACAGTTTAATGACTAAGGATCTTTGCTTTCCAGTAGGCAGATAAGAAAGCAGTCAAGCTGAGGGCCCTACCAAATGTCAGAATAAGAAGAGCTTTCCCCTGGAGGTAAAAACACATATGTTGTGAGTCCTGGAGCTTTCCAGACACGTTAACCCAATCCTTTAGAGGAGAGCAGTCATGCGTTGGACATCTCAGCTGCTTGCACTTCGTGGGCATGGTTGGAGGAGCTGAGTGGAGATGGGGCAGCTGGAGCTGCAGTCCCGGGCTAAACACCTGTGTGCCGCCTGTGTCTTACTTTTGCATACACCATACCCGTCATCACTCTAAGACTCTCTGGAGTCTGCCAGACAGCCTGGCCCCTGTCTTCTGCAGCTTCTTAAGGGTAAATTCTAGGCAATGGCTTTCTCCTACATTTCACATACCTGTCCTCTCCCATCTGCTCTTCATCTTCTAGAAATACGGTGAAGTCATCACTCATTGGCAAACCCCTCTCCAATTATTGATGTGAGGTTCTTTCCTTTTTGTCATTTTTAACTTTCATTTCAGTGGGGTATGAAGGATGAGGAAAACCTGGCTAATTTGTCATCTAGAGCCCAAAGTCTAGGTTTATCTTTTATATTGTAGAGTAAGTGATATTGTTAGGCAGAATGAATGAGTTCTGAATATGTCGTGTATAGCTTGGTGACTATAGTTAATAATGGTATATGCTTGAAAATTTTTTAAAAAGAATAAAAGAACAGTGATATTTTTCCTAGTTTTCTTCTGTCTGAGAATTAACAATTATATGTATTGAGAAGGCATAGCATATTAACTAAGCACATAACATTGCAGTCAGGGTGACTTAAGTTCAAATTCTTTGACAGTCATATTTAGCATCTTGGGCTTCTCATTTGTAAAATGGGGACAATAATAATAATGACAGTAATACATACCTTACAGTCAAATGATAGAATAAATATGAAGTGCTAACCATGGTTCTTGGCACATGATAAAACCTGCATAAATACTAGCTTATTATTATTTGTTAAATACTTTTAAAGTTAAATATATATATTAACTACAAAATATTAATACTTTTAAGTGATGTATCTATCCTGATATGATGTGATTAAAATCCTCTTTCATTAGACGTGGCAGTTATTACAAGGAATTTTAATCAGATTTAATATGTTTCTTCAGGGACATAAGACAGCCTCCAAGGATCTTGTTTAAATTAAATTATTTTAACATTTCTCTACATTTTAAAAAATGTTAACATTCTAACACTGTTAACACAGACTCTGTATTAGTTTTGAGAAAAAAATAAAGTTTATTTTACAATATCTTCCTCTTTATTAACTGGCTGAACTGCTTAGAATGCTTTGGGGGCACATTAAAATTCTACATAAAAGGAGTCTTAATAACTTTTGATGATAACAAAAGTTCTGACTAAATTTAAATTGATTTTGTATCTTAGCATTAATAGCTGTACAGCTATTATGTAGCTATTAATGATGATACAGCTATTATAATTACAACTATTATAATGAATGAGGGAATTATTTTACTGGTTAAACATTACATTATCATCTGCATAAAATGATAATTTTTTGCTGCTTGAAAATACTTTATTAGCATATCCATACTGTGTGTTTATGTTAGCTGAGAATACCTTCCCAACAGAATATAATATATCCTTTAATGCAGCAGGAGATATTAACACTTTAAAGTGAAAAGATAACTGGCTATTTAAAATACAGTTAAAAGCATTTTAGGGATGTGGAGTTTAGGTTTGAAAAGAAATGTTTTGCAAATCTTGTAATTAAATAAGGTAATCTCATTATTCTACTTAACTTCTTAGCTTGTGTAGCAGTGTCCGTGTATCAGAAATTGTTGATTCATAGCACCATTTTAATCCTTTAGTGATACTTTTAATTCACTTACAAATGACTCTCTGTGCGAAAGGTCGCAGCAGCTCTGTCCTTTATGGTCAGCGATGCTTCCACTGGGTGTGAGGGATTTGGTTTTCGGCCACGCAGACTTTGCTCCGAGGACTAATGGAACTTTTATAAAACCAGCACGGTCCCCACCATTTGTTCTTAGGGGAGATTTTATAATCAAGCTTTAATGATAGAAATGTCTATGGTTGGTACATTCAAGGACATCGTTCCCAGCTCTGTGAGTGAAAGATATGATCGCCTCATATAAAGTAGGAAGGAGATGAGGAGCGTGAACCTGAACTGTGCATCTGGGAGCAGTTGGAGGCACGGTGCTCTGTGGAACACGGCAGTAAACCCAACTCTCCTGAAGCTTTATTGTCTGCAGGTTCGTAACGGCCCAGTTCATATCTGCGCACACGGCATTCCCTCCCCCTCCATGCCCTACCTCTGCCCTGGCCAAAGAGCTTTACTTTCCCGAAAACTCCCCTGGACTGCTCCAGCCCCTTGTTTATGACAGGTGCCTGTCTGCACATCCTGTGGATAACTGCAGCACCTGCTTGCTTCGTCAGTGCAAGACAAAGCTGTTGACATTTTGAGTCATTCTATTTTGATGAACATAGGCAGCGTATTTCCAGATTGCTAGCTCATCCATATGTCTTTCCCCCACACGAAAATGAAAATATACCTTGTTATTTCATTTTATCAGTCACTTTTATATGACTCTTACAAAGGTCAGCATCCAAAAAGATCATTGCCTTGCATAGTATAGTTGTGCAGTAGTGACGGGGAAAAAGATGTTGTCTCAGAGATTTCATAAAATGTTCTCAGGAGGGCAATAGTAAAAACAGGTCAAGAGTCCCGGGTTCTAGTTCTGTGCTTCTCCTTTGAGGACCAGTCTGTGGACCTGCCACAGTTCTGGCATCTTCTGAGGGTTAGAAAGGCGGGATCCCAGGCACTGCCTAGACCTCCTGCATCAGAATCTGCCTGGCAACAGGGCCCGGGAGGTTCACGTGCATTCGAGTTCAAGATGCACTGCCGTCACCAACTGACTCATGTAGAAATATCACTTCTGATGAGTGATTTTACATAATATAATTATGTGATTACATAATATAATCAAACCTATGTTCCCATCCTCATAGTGGTCTGGAACATCATAAACACTCCATAATGTTTGTTGAATGAATAGACAAAAGATGCAAGTTGCTTTTTAGCAATAGCTTTTAGTCTCCTAGATTGTCTTGTACTCTTTTGGGGGTGAGAGTTGCATGAAATTCCATATAAGATCCTAGAGTCTTTTAAAAATTTTCTTTTGCCTTTGTTTTTGTCCTGAATTCGTCTCAGGATTATTCTTTCTTTTTGTTTCTTTTTTTGTCTCTGAATACAATGTCTTTTTAAATTGACAAAATCGTACATATTTGTGGTGTACTACATGATGTTTTGATATATTGTAGAACGACTACATCAAGCTATTTTACGTGTGCATTACCTCACATACTTATCATTTCTTTTGTGGTGAGAACACTTAAAAAATCTACTCCCTTAGCAATTTTCATGTATACAGTATATTGTTATAAACTATAGTTATCATGATGTGCAGAAGTTCTCTTGAACTTATTTCTCCTGTTTAATTGAGGTTTTATGTCAAAATCTCCAAAATCTCCCCAATCCCTCCACCCCCCTGAACACAACAGATTTCTAAGGGGCATGCTCTTTGGAAAGCTGTTTCTTTAAATGAAAGGGGGTGGATGCTCTTTGGCAGCCTATTAGGGGATCATGCCTCACCAGCTGTCCTCCCCTCCACTGGGCCAGGTGGTGGCGGAGCTGGGGGCCTGTGGAACAGTGGCTGCTCGGTGTCTGGCAGTGCCGCTCTGGGGCCGTCCTATGGCTGAGGGGCCCCACCATGAACTGTGGGTCCTGGGTGCAGAGCTGCAGCAAT